ATTTTTTCCCCTTTGTTGCCCATTGAAATCGAGCGTTTACCTATTATTTACCCCCGATTATTGACTGTCCATAGCGAGGTTGAATAGGCTGGATACTGATCAAATGCCTGGGTTGAAGGATTCAGAGTTGATCCACAAACTTGGGTAGGATCATGATCACAATAGTGTCTTCATCGTGGCGTGTACCACTAGCTAATTATTCTCCAGCACCAAAGTCATTGGTGTGGGCAGAACTCAGGCCAGGGATTTATTGACGGAAAGTGACTGGCAGCGGTGTCACTCGTCAGCTTTTTACCGAAATTCGTCAACCGAAAACTTATTCAGTGAGAGATAAGTGGTACGGACAACAGCCGGTCTTGTGCAGAATCCTGGTGTGTATTGCTAAGTGGGTCTGACCGAAAAACACCAAGCTCTGGGTGGGGTATAATAGTTCACCGTGTAAAAATGGAAACATAACAATTACAGCGTATTGATGAAATGATCCCTCTTCTGTTGAAAAGCGCCGTTATAGGTATGCAGTTCCAGGTCGAACCCTACTGGTATTGATTGATTGATTATTGCCTCGTTAAATGTGCCTGAGGATCGATTATGAAGCCAGGAATTCCGATAGAAAATGATTAATTATTTCGTTGAATAGCCAGGGTTATCGATTGCTTGAACGTTTTCCCTGAACGTGACCGTGACCATCAGTGACTAACGACGTGCCTGTCCAAAAAACCATCTGTTCCAAAAATCGGGTGAAAATGTGACCTTTTTTAAAATTTTCTCACGGGTTCCAGTAACAGCAACTACCACCCGTCGTAGTAGTGGCTAGTTTTCGGTAATACCGGTTTTGCTAGTTGACCCTGTTCTGAGAGTTTGTTTTCGACGACGGATCCGTTGTCCGGCGCCGCAATGTAGCCTCCTGGTGAGCGAGTCGAGGTCAGACACGGACATGAGTGTGGGTGGTCAAAGATAGTTGAAACCATGGGATATTTTTAGGCTTTCTGTGATTCCAATCGATACTTTGCTAGGTTTTGACTGATCCTAGGATTGCTTTTCGGTAAATCCGGGTCTGAGGATCAAGTTCTCGAACAGTTCTAGGAGTTATGTCCTAACCTCTTTGCTATTATCTTATCAAGAAGGATCAGGTTTGGGACTACCTCCGCCATAACCAGGAAACCAAACGAATGAAAGTTCATGCTGGCTCGTGGTCTATTCCTCTACAGCAACAGGGCTAGCTAGCAACGACTTGATACCGGTTTCGTTAATCATTCTTTGAGGAATGTTTTAATATCTTCGGCGAATCTCAGACATCGTCCCCCGTGTTCTGGCAGTTCCCCGCCGATCCCCTTCGACGATCATGATGTGGTCGAGTAGTCGCAGAGGTGCGCGGAATTCGCTTTCTCTCACTTCGCACCGAGGTCGTGCACTCTAACAACCGACGAAATCAGAGCGCAAGAATAAATAGAACGGAAAGCGAGTGGACGCGCAAGAGAGCGCACCGCCGCCACTGCGCGCTCGCTCGAATTCAGGTCGAAATCATACGGCGATGGGGCGACCGACTACGTTGTCGTCGTCGTAACGTAATGAGTGGCGTTTCTTCTCCCCCCAAATGAAATGAAATCGATAATGTGGATCTGCGAAAGTCAGCATGGGGTGGAAGATGACAAAAGGATTGGTATTGATTGATAGGACTGACTGGTAATTACAGAACCTCATTGAGTATGAGAAATTCCCTCATTCCCTTTGATGGACTGGTTTCTCGGCGCTTAGACGAACCTACCGAGGCCTCAGTATATGGGTTATTTTTATTGAATAACTAGCTTACTGCTGTATAACTGTTGGTAATGTATTAAAAGACTCAATGATAATCTGTTATAGACTTTGTTACTTATAAAGTTAATCTTGAGCGGCTAAAAACAATGAAGTTTATAATTATTTGCCCATTTGCTAGTTACAGTACGCTAGTTTTTAGAGCATTTCTTGTCAGGACCTTGCTAATGTGTGCATTTTCTGTTGAAAACAAGGAAACCTAGATTCTTTGTCTAGCAACTGTGCCTAAACTACTTTGGAGTCGGCTAATTGATTCTCTAATTCTTTTTAAAGTAATCCCATTACTCAAGTTATTTCTCATTTTTCAAATGATGATTTCAGTGGTGGTCCTCCCCCGAAACATTTTTGGACTACAGCAGCCTTTTCCACTCTCATTAAACACTCCTGAAGTAAGCAAATGATTGTGGTGGACCGATGTGGTCGTTGGTGCTTTTGAAACCGGATATTGTCGCCCATCGTCCGCTACTTCAGGTAACGTCCGTGAAGATTTTGGTCCCTCGTTTGTTCCGGGATTCAAATGTAAAGGATTCAGCACACGTGATGTGTAGAGAGATTCGTGGATATTATGGGATAGCGTGCGCGGCCTGGATTTCTCACCCATTCACCGTAATTCGTCGCTTGTACCGCAGCGGACGCCGCCCGCGACGATCTTCATCAATTTCCCATCTGGGTCACACAGTACTCATCAAAACAACACCGACACGACAAAGGCGAATGAGATGATCTTTGAATTGCGAATGGACTTTCCAAATGGTTTCTGTCATCATGGCTGATTCCAGCTTCTAGAAGCTCCAACAACCGAGGAAGTCCCGAAATGTTCCCCAAGGAATCCCTTTAGTTTGGGTTGCTTTGGGGAAGAGAGGAAGCTAAAGCTAAGATCACGTATAGACCTGCTACTGTGACCTGGATGAGCTTTGAGATGCCATAATGCCTTCTATTTGAGTAGTCTACGGGGTCTGGTAGCTTCGGTTCATCACTAGGAACAAACCTAAAATTAGTGTTGTACCCACTCCCCGTTGAGGGGAAATTCGAGGCGAGCGATTTCAAGCTCTGCGCTCGTTCCTAGCAAGTTCGCGCAATACCGGTTTGCATGTTTGATTGACTTAATGATTTACTTGTTTTGCAAAAATCTGTAGAATTCCGGTTCTGTGGCATCCCATGAGCTAGATCGGAAACGCAATCTCCCGGGACGGCATCTCCTATAAACTGTTGGTTATAGCTATGTAAAGGAAGTTTAAATGAGGAATTAGAAGTTTCAGAATGCAGGTTCAAGTACAGAATCCCATAAATGCTAGCCCAGGCATTCTTTTATTGATTTATTGATTTGTAGCTCATCGTAGTTTCACCGGTGACCTTCATTACGCTATATAAAAGGAATTAGAGTAATTTAGAAGGTAATTTTGAAGGGAAGGGAGTTTAGCAAAGCTGCGAGACGGATCACTTTCTTGACCTTTCAGTGTTTGGAGTACTCCCTGGGTACTTTTCCCCCGAGTTTTTTTACCCGAATGTCTTCTACCACTAGCTCCACGATGGGTGGCGTTTAGCTTCAGATATTGTATGGTATGGCTGTAAATTTCGTTGATAATCGGTGATCCTGCGTGAATCCTTATCGATTTTTGGGTTCATTGAAATGAGGCCACTTCGAGATTGCTTTTGTATTCGCGCTATGTCTGTGTGATAGCGTACAAAATGATTGAATAATGAATTCCGTCAAGTCCCGGATATTCCCGTGGCGGTCGTCACAAACGCAGCAGTGCGCAGAGCGCACACTCTTGCGCACTCTTAGTCTGACGTACAAACAGGTCTTTTGTCCGCCGTACGACACCAACAATGGGATTTCATTTCGTTCGTCTATTCGAGACGGTACCGCCACCATCATCCACGATCACATTGACAGCCATAGTCGCATGTGAACAGTAGCAGAAATCATGATCATCCCTCAAAAATTCCAATCGGATTACGGTATCCCCCATGGGTACTTGAATTTGCCGACGACTCGAACCGTTAAATAACACATCATTGAAGAACACTTATGTGTTCTGTATTGGCGGTAGTACAGAGAGAGAGAGAAAGCTTCGCCAAAGAAAATGCGCTCAGGCGCCGCTCGATGAGCTCATAAAACACTGGCGACTGGCGGCGTATGCCTGCTTGATGGGAGTACTGTATCTGTGTGTGTATGTGTGTGCTGTACGGTAGTCTGACGGCATGAGTCATTCAGTCTGCAGTAGCAGCAGCAGCAATGATGGTGGCAGTAGCAACGCGCCCCCGTCAGCCATCATCCAAACAGCCAGTTGGCTGACGGGTAGTGCAGCGATCCGATGGGCTGATTGGGGAACGCGCCGTTGGAGCACACACACAAACAACGAATTCGATTCGAAGGACGGTCGTACGGAGAGGGTAATGCGCGTGACTTTCCGAAGGCTTATTCCTCTTGCCTAAAAATCGGTAATAGCAATGATCTGAAGGGAATGTTGTGGTTTTTTGGTACAGGATCAATTTTTGAAAGGTCGGAACGATGGGTTCAGAGGCTAGAAGTAAAAGGGCTTTGGAAGGATAAACGAGGATACGCCATTTACCAGATTCGGTGGAAAGGTTAGTCACATATACCAATCCTTCCTTTTCTGAATTCTGCCCCTTGAGGATCCCAGAGGACACCATCTAACCCTGGGAGACGCCGTGGCGACTGGATCGTTCCCGTGATATTACTGAAGCACTTACGGGTCCCTATGGATCATTCATTCCTGGAACTGGATACGAAAAGCCAAAATTCTTCGATACATCGCATTCTGTGTAGGATTCCAAAGTCTCGAACCTTTTTTTTCTGTAGCGGGAACCAGATTGAGGGAAATGTTGGCCACCCAGTGGGACTAGCTGGAAAACCTTTTTTCCCTTATTTGCTTGAATTCACCTGGCCATTGAAAAGCTACATTGCCTCATTCATCACGTAGTATATTTTTGAGAGATTGGTTCAACAGTACCAGTCATAGTGCCAGTTACAGGGAGCATTAGGCTCAAATAACCCTAAATTACAGTCAAAACCCCTTTTTCCCCTACAGTTTCTAGCTTCATTTCACAAAGCAATTTCAATGTTTTTCAGCAGGCTATCCGTGAATTGCTGGATGCCGGTATAGTTATTGATGGAGCTAGAAAACTTCTTTTGAGTAAAGAAAAAGCCCAAGAGCTTTATGGGGCTCATAAAGGTAACGTTAGGTTCATCTGGAGAAAACCAGTACAGAAATGTTAAACCTGATCATTTTCCAGACAAGTTCTTCTATCCACGGCTCGTGCGGCACGTGACCAGGTGGGTTCCGCATGATCGATGCTTATTGATTGCTTTGTTTTATTTGGGTTTCTTATGTTTATATTTGTTCTATGCGCATGGTTGTGTTTGGGTTTACCTCTAAGCGCACAGTGACATATGAGTGAGAGCCACGTTTGGGAAGTCTGGTCCGCTATTCTGAATTTTTAATTTATAAAATCTAATCTATCAAATTATATAAGTCATAAGTCAATAGGCTGAGTCCATAATGATAAATTAGCTGATTATAAAAATAATCCGTTCGATTCCCCCAGTTTTCCAACAAATTTAGCATCTGCTGATGCTGGAGAGATCACCAAAGCAATCAATCAATAAAGGGTAGATACCGTAATAAAAAGTTGGATGCCCCAGTACAATCATAGCGATGAAAAATGGGGATGCAACATGAAATGGTTGCGGTTTTTCGAATCCCCTTGTACAGATCCTTTGAGAGGACGGCTATTGATCGATGATTCGGCGGAATTCTAAACGCTTGAGCAGTCATCGATTTTTGGACGAGTCCCAGATGTTCAAGAACTTAATCTAGTAGTCGTCAGATCGAATATTTGATCGGAGCAGAATTTTCGAAGAGTTCACTGATCGATAGGCGTCCTGAATCCCATCAAAAGTGGAGGAGCCGTAGTCGTTTTACTAGGGGAACGTCCAGATGACNGTAGTTTGACTTGACTTCTTGCAAGAATCCCTCTGATGCTTATTGAGGGTTCGAGTCCGTCCGAGACGCTGGGTTAGTTGTCGGTTGTCATTATTGATCAGTTCGCCTTTGTTCAGTTTTTGGACGATAATGAAGAAATCCGCAATGTTCTGATTTTCAGCGGTCCAGTGATCGCAATGAGAGTTCGTGGAGATGTACGTCGTATTCTCGGAAGCAGTCGTCTGTATCCGATCCCCGAAATTGGTGTACGATCATCGTTACGCCAACGTTTTGCCCTGTCCGATGTCCGGAACGTCGCCCATACTTCAGATGCCAAGGATGCACAACAAGAGCTGGCCCTCTTCGAGCCATTTCAACCGTCGGAACCGTTACTGAATGAAATTCTTACGTAGTATTAGCGTCACATGGTGAACTACCTCTTTTTCTGTAATCTTGCGTCACGTCATCGTATCGTGTCTGTAATTGATCGTCTCCGAGACAGTATAATAAATAATAATAACACGTTTTCATTTCTTTAAGTTCAATCAAATCATCACAAGAATGAGAGAGAAATCGCAGGCGGGGGAAATTTTCCGAAAAAAAAAGACACAAACGAAATCGAATTCGAAGTGAATGTAAAATACAATTTAGAATCACATGATCATCAGTAATATTTGACATTCTATGTACATGTACAATGAAGCGAGCTCATCTCAATAGTATAATATGAATATATATTTAAAATTAGTCAATATCAATCAATATTAGGCATGTGTGAAAGAGTGGGTGTGGAGAACAAAGAGTGCGCTCTATGAGTATAGATATAATATAGATCTATATATATNTATATATATTTATATATGTAGTTATACACGTTCTACAGGCAGTAAATGAGTTCCATCTGGGTTGCGAGCGGTCGCGCAGCGGTCAAAAGCGTATCGATCAGCATCGTGTGCCGCGCCACCGCCGAGTATAAAATGACTCATGTGGCGATCTGGAGAACGTGAACAACTGTACGTATATACTATAACATATGAGGATCATATCGAATTAGGTGAATGCTGCGACAAGGCGACCGCGGGCGCGCGACGTTACACGTGATCGCGCCGCGAACTGCAATAACGAACCGGAGTGTGATGGGAAAAGACTTAGACGGGGCTAGAAAGGCTAAGAATCGCTGACAGCTGAAACGATAACGTCCATACATGCATGGCGCGACATAGGACGATTTCCATGCCAATCCTGGCATGTATGTACGCCACCGTAACGAAACAAAAACGTTACCATAATCAATAATCATCAGATCAGTACGTGGATGCGGCGGCGTAAGAGAAAAGGAAAAGAAAACGAACGAACAATCGATCAATAAAACAAAAAGCAGGTATCAACAGAAAATGATCTCAAGAGAGCTATTGTAATCGGGCTAGCAGCTAACCGGAACTCGATTGATACTGTGGCGGCATGATTTCGACAAGAGTGGCGGCGAAACAGGTGGAATCTTCCGGGGAGGGTTCCACATCCAAAATGAAGGTGTCCTCGTTACAGTAATGACGGAGCATGTCATCGTCCATCTTTACCGTAACACCTTTGGCACATCGTTTGTAGAGACCGCTGATCTAAATATGAATACATTTACAACTCGTACAGAAGGGAATCATCTATGGAATTGGATCTACCTTTTGTGAGTCGATCCCGAATTTGTGGGCAACGGCTTGCGCTAAGCCATCCAACGAGGGTGGTATGACATGTAGCGGAGTATAGATTTGATCATCTCGTTTTCGGACATACAGCATTACTGTAACAGAAACTGGTTCGAAAATCGAAGACGAAGCAAGGATAGGCAAGAGGATGAACACGGGGGCGAGACCGAGGCAGAACTTACTTCGCTCGGAGGGCCTCGGTCGTTTCGCGACTGGTTCCATATCTGAGAGGCCGTCATAGCCGATCGATGTGCCATCGAGATACCGTGAATCGTATTCGTCTGGGGCGATAAACAAAGCCGCTGGCTTGTCCAATTCTCGCATATGGTAGAACTCAGATCGTTCACATGGTTCATGATATTCACCTTCAGTCTTCTTTCGACCAGATAAAGCGCCTGAGAAAAACGGGTTTACGGGAACCCCTTCGCTGGGTTTGGTTAACACAACACATAGAATAAAGGGGTTCTGCAGTTGAACATAGATCCGGATTTTTAGCCAAGAAGCTCGGGAGCTGCAGGAAACCAACGAATCAGAAGGTCAGTGACCACACCCAATCGGGTAGCATTTAGACGCCTTATTGGTTCGTTGTTTGCAGCTTCTGTTTTCACAGCCACAGACTTGTTGGATAAAAATCCTTGGACAGAGGAACATCTACAAAAAAGTAGTTCTGTTATGTAAATGGGCAGTTAGCCTCGTCAACAGGGATTTGCGGAAAATGTTTGAGAAGTTCAGTGGCTATCATACGTATCGATTGATTTGGCAGTCGGGATATGACTAGATGGAAGACGATATTTCGTTTAGAGGAATCAATAGCTCACAGCTATTACCTGACACGACTTATGACTACCACACCGGAAGGGCTATCCCAGCTATTTTTAGAACCGGCTGCGAAAGAAGGCTAACCGACATTACCGGTTTCTTGTGAGCGTGGGTAAGTGTGAGTAAAGAAATGGGGAAGATATGTGTTTTGACCGAAAATCACCCATGACTGGTTAAAAACTTTTAGGAAACCTTCGGGTTTCTAGTAACAGGGTTGTGGACTCGTCTCGTAACTGAAAGGATGATGAGCGCTTTGAAAGTTTTCCTGTGTAAAATATAGAAATCGATTTTCCGCATATCCCTGATCGTTAGTCGGTATCGATTATTAGTTAACATTGAACACTTATCACATACAGGGGAATCTTCTAGGAAGAATTCCTATAAAGTGTCTTGTCATTCGACACACCCAGCTGTCCGGCTACAGTACGTACCGAACAGAGGGTCTTAGAGGGAAAACATGTATGCTTGGCACAAGTACACATAGAGAACAAACACTGAATAGTGTACCTTGAATGCGTCTCTTCTCGTCTCGTCTATTTTCATGGAGCATTTTCCGATTAGCTCCCTAAAAAAGCGAAGCGGGTTAGATGTGAAGAGACGACGATGGTTACAACGATGATTACAACGTCTTCAGAAGCTCAGAAGCTTTCCATCTGGACGTATTCAATCGTTCGTTCACTCACGATGACGCCACATATCACACAACAACACAACGAATATAGTTATTAAAGCGCCTGTGAACAGCGCTCACGCTAGACGGGATGGACGGGTCCTGACACGATAACACAACACTGTTCGGTTATGATACGTTACGATACGATACGGTACGTGACAGTACGTATACGTGGTGGTACTGTTATGTGATAGCAACGATAGGCGAGTAGCCAGCAGTAATAGCTATTATGGACTACGATTAACGGCTATACAGCACAATAGCGATGGACAACCACGACCGACCGACAAATGACGACAGTGGTGGTTACCTGCTAGTTTGCGTTTTTGATTTCGTTTGTCTTCGTCCCGCAACTTTCGCTCGGCGCCCTTGAGAGAAAAAGAACGATTATGTTTGGTACTTAGCAGTAGGAGTAATTTTATTACACTGCGGTCACTTTTTTTNTTTTTTTCAGTTGATTCGATTTTCACTTGGAACTACGCCAAAGAATTTCATCGGAGATGGTAGACACTTCAAGGGCACTGTCGCATTTCGTAACATTCAGTGTTTTGGTCGTAACTACAGTCCCGATTTGTTGCTTTGAGGCTTCTTAAAATGGAATCCGGGATGAGTACCGTTGTAATTCGCCAACAGGAGTGATTGGAGTCGCGCATGGGCCGTTATGGAGCTTTTATAAAGGTTCCCGAGAGGATTACTCTGCTAACTGTTCAGGAACTCTTACTACCACATCGGATCCAGCTAGTCTTTAGTGTTTCTGTCGTAGGATCCGCCTTTTTGGTCGTAAATCCGCTATTCATACTCTAATACCGTAACTTTCGTAGGTCCTAAGACGAGTAAATGGGTGACGTAATTGAACCATCAACATTAAATTGATTTAAATTGGTATGAAATAAGTGAGAAGACTAAAAATGGGTTAATGTGCACGCAGTGTTGACTGTTTGAACTTCACTGGTTCGCCACCAAACATAGATGGAACGATTACAGTATTTCGTGCGTTGGTGCAATCACGGGTTATGCCATGGGTGCTCGTAAAATTAGCAATGAGTTCTTATTGACAGCTAAGTTAAGTATCATAGTAGTTCCATCGTATTTGCATCTCACTTGTGTCTATTTTGAATATGAAACGGCCACAGTTTATATAATAAAGTCCTTATGGTAAAGAAAATACTGTAGAAGGGAAATGGTGCAATTACGACCAAAACACTGAGTTCCAGAGAAAAATCGAATTCGTTCGTTTTATGATGCGACTGTTCGTTCCCGGAATTTTTCTCCTGGATTTCGTGCCCAATTCGTTTCCATTAAGTCGGAAATAAGGGCATTTGGAGTATGAGCGAAGTTCACGGCCGCATTAATACCTTAATCGCTTGTCGCAGGCGGCGGCTATTCATCGCGCGGTGTACGTCGCGTCATTGCATACCCACGAAATCCACCAGCCAATTAGCGTTTTTCCCGGGTGACATGTGCTGGTTGACGCACGCACGCGTGCGCTTTCACGTAGAATTTGGCCATTTTCTAGTTCGTATAATTGTACGTGAAGTTTTTCTGCCCGGCTGTTTCGCTGAATTGCGCGGCCGCGCGTGTCATCGTCACCCACCACCGGCACCACCATCACCCACCACGATTTCTCGCCGCTCTGAACGATGTATGTCGTGGAATTTGCTCACCTTATCACAGAACACTTTGATTTGGCAGTAACCCCTATGGAAGGGTTGTTTGTCGTTGTCCCCATCGTAGGTGTCGATTTGGACATGAAGCGGCAAACCCTTGACACCTTTCTGATTCGAGAAATCCGTCGAGAGGCATTGGGTGGCGATGCTGATCTGAAAACAGAACAAGTGAGTCGAGTGGGTGACTGAGCCCTTGAGTCAAGAACCCCCGTATGGTCCCCCCGTGGATGATGCGTCATGGGGCAGAACCAGCGAGGCGATGGCGACAGGGGCAGGGACAGGTAGCCTTGAATGAATGATATCGATTGACTAATCGCCGAAAACTGCGCTCTCTCACCTGCCGACTGTCAATACCGATCGCGGGGGGAACAGAGACATGCACGGGATGGAGGAGGGTGAGGGCTGTCCCTCTCTGAAGTGTCTCTTGCTTAAACAAACTCAAACGAGCTCGCCAAGTCTCAGAGGTACGATTTTCCAGTCGGGTGACCAAATAGGTGGGGAAGGAGGTGAAGGAAGTTCCAACTCTCAATAACGCCCCTTTAGGGTGTCTGTCTTCAAAGAGGGTTACTCATAAATCCAGGAACTACTGCAGCACCTGCTCAGGAAGATGCCCTAAAGGTTTGTGGAATCTCTTGAAATTCCCAAAGGTACTTCCGGGATAAAATGGGGGATGGAGAAGTTTTCAGAGGAGGAAATGCAAAAAAGTGAAGAGAATGTAGATTGAAATCTGAAGAGCTCTCGAGGCCTGAGAGAGCTGGTTTTCCCTTTTGTAACCGGGATTGTGAAGGAAAACCTCTCAGTGAGGGTAGGCCTGACTGAGGAGTCATCTCTGCTCTTCTTGCGCCCTATTTTTGCCCCCAGTCTTACCGTTTTTGGGAAGATACACTCAAAAACAAGGTGTAAAAAGTAAAAAAGCAAAGATCACATAAAAGTATGCTCTGTACCATTCAAAAGTCTTATTCTTCAGTAATTCTTTGGAGAACTCGTTCACTCACAATAAGTTTCCCTCGAGAAATCGATAAACTCATTGAAAGTGATTTATGAAATGTTCGAAAAACCTCTGTCAAAATTCGTTCCCATTGAGTGAAACAGGATTTTGTATCGAGTTTTTTGCACGGGATTTCTAAAACGGGTAATTCCCAATCGAGTTTTTGGTGGACAAGTTCTTTTTTTACTCGAAGGGAATAACTAGTGACCCCAGGAAGTACGGAAGATCTTTGTATTTCTGTATTCAAAGCGATTTTTGATTTTCCAACCGAAAAGAAAAGAATTAATATTATATTACAAATTCTGGTGGGTATCCAACCAAAAGGAATCCCTTTAAAGTTTTTCATGGCGCAATTGTACGATGGGGATCTTATTTGGGTACCATAAAAGTTAATTAGAGGGTACCAGGCAGCCCCCTCATGAAACCTGTCCTCGGAAGCTTATCAAAGCGGTGACTCATTGCCTACTTGACGAGGGTGGTTACGGTCCAATCGGATTGACGAGTATTGATTGATTACTTCGAGGACTCTGCGAAACTTTAGAAATCAAACTGACAGCCGACTCAGTAAGGGGTCTAGACCGTCTTTGACGCCCCGTGACAATTACGGGGGTACCGTGACGAATTTAATGAACACATAGTCAGACAGTAGATTACCTTGACACCGTTTTCGGATGGATTCCAGTAGAATTGTACGGCATTATGAGCGATTTCCTCGATTTGGCCGATCATCCCGGAACTGTTCTTACTGTCAACTTCAAGTATTCGTTGTTTAGCGGAATGTTGACGGCTATGCCAAAATTGCCATGTCTTAATCTCTTCTTCATAGGTTTTGTCCTCTCGAAATACGATCATTAATTGGCTCTGAAATGAGAGAAAACTCATTTGGAGGATTTAACCTTCACGATAGTCCCCTCCGCGCATGACCTCCATGAATTCCAGCCAGCGCTACGCGAATTCACCTCGGCCTACGAAAGTGAAATCAAATTCGTTACGCTCGCACAGCTCCCACCACTCAAATCACGCTGGGACCATAGCAATCCCCATGTTATGTGGTGGTGGTGGCCTGATTCAGATGTTGTTGTCTGTGCGTGCATGTGTGCGTTCCAAAACGCGCTGTAGCGCACAATTGCCGCTCCTCGGTCGCGCTGTAGCGAATCGTCACCTACAGTACCCCCTGGGCTACTGTAGGACGAAGCCAGGCCGACATGCATGCAGTGTAGTCAGTAGAGGTATGCAGGTAGAAACAATCTACGTCATAACACTATTGCATAAACAACCTCTCATCTTGACTAATCAACTTGGGTGCATAAAGACCCTTCGAAGTGTTACGCTTACCTTGACGGTTACGCTTTTCAAGGGTTTGTTGATATCGGGAATATAGTCGAGAGATACGGTATAGAATTGTCCTTTGTTGACGTACGTCATTCGATCATCTTCTTTTCGTACTGAAGTCGAAATCGGCGCTTCCAGAACATATTGAAAACCTAGCGGGTTGTGTCTGAAAATAGATGCGATTGTGAAAAACTTGGAGTCGAGCCAGACCTGTCCATCTGGCTACCTGCCTGGCCAAGTCCAGCTCGGGAGGGAGCTAGCAATGTAGACAGACACGAGTGGAGTTGTTATCGGATCGCATTGAGCGCCACCCGACTACGCTATTGACTCAAATTCACTTCATTTACATGCAAAACATGTGGATCGATCGAATTGGAGAGTTCGCATAATGTTTGGCTTTCTCGCTAAGGCAATCATTTAGACCAGAGGTTCAGGAGATGGATTGGGTCCGGCTAGTCACTAGCGAAACGTCGTTCATTGACCGTTGGGCAAGAAATTTTGACAAAATGGCATCGCGCAGAAATTGAGCAGCAATTCGATCAATGACAAGCTTACTTTTGGCAATTTCGGCGAGAAAGAATGTGGGGAAAAGAAAAATTTCAAGATCAGGCTTTTACCACCGTAATCCGTTTGCTGACTCACTGAATAAGACCAGAACTCCGATTTGTTCTTTCGGAGATTTCCGGATGTCCTTGATCAGAGAACACTTCCAGGAGGATTACGATGACAAAAACAGCAGGGGGTATAATCAGAAAGTGTAACTAGTAGTTCTAATGCTTACAGTTTTGGTATTACTACTGGCGAATCTCGATGACTTAGTGCTCGTTCGGCGGATCGATCAAGCATGGTGTCCGTTTGAAAGAATTCTTCTTTGGCGCCAGTGATCATCGACAGATCGGCTCCAATGCCTGAATCTACTGGACTTGGCATGTCGACACCTTTATAGACGGTTCGCTGCTCTTGAGCAGCCGTCGTTGTGCCACTAGCATCTTGTGGATTATACTGCAATGTAGTTGCTCGGGGATAGGCTGTGTAGGTGTCCATAGGCCGACCCCAGTCCTGTTGTACAACACCGTTCGGGAAACCATAGTAGAGTTGACCTGCAGTGGATGGTGCCGGTATTAGTGAGGACTGATTATGCCCGCCGAGACCGATTGCCGCATATTCGTAGGCTCGCTGATAGTTTGTATTGTAGTAATTTAGGTCGATCGGTTGCATTTTTGACAGATCCTGTAGATTGGATTGCGTCAACGGTGCCAGATCGATTGGTTCATTCTGAAAAAAATGGGCTGAAGTTGTTGGGGGGAAAGAAATTGGTCTCAAATGGGAACAGGATAGTCCTGGGACTGGGACGTACCTTGGGCGAGAATTCTAGTTGACGGCCTGGTGGTGCCGTCTTGATCACGGATGATTGTTCGAGTTGGAATTGTGACATGGTGGCGACGACGTTCGAGTCGAAGCCAAGCTTCATTCCACTCCCAACCACACCCCGTCGTTCACTCTTGAGCGTACCGTAAGCGAGACGCTGCGGTTGCTTGGTTGCTCCTGCTGTTGCAATCGGAGATTTGGCTGGAACCCGAATTTTTAATTGAGATTAAAAGGAAGAATCGCCGAGCAATCAAAGGCAATCGATTGATTGGATAGGATTCATTCGAAATACATTCAAAAATCGAAATGAATCAATCGCAGCTTGTAGAACAAATACAGGTGAAGCTCGTGGAACGCTTTTGATAGAGAGGAATCGAATGATTTATGAGATTGGAAATGTTCGATCAAACTGAAACAGAGCCACTCTTCGGCCTGTGAGAAGCTTGACGGAGGGTAATTCACTGGGCATTCAAGGTCCAGAAGTGGCACAAAATTGAGGATAAAATCAAAAAAAAAATAACGAAAATGCTGTACGATTCGCGAAAATGGTTCGGAAAAATTGCAGAGAAGATGAGCAATCGGAACCGGAACTTTCTGGAGGGTTCCAGTAAAGTAACTTCACGGATCTCGAATGAATCACAGTGCTACTGTACCAAACGAAATTTCAAAAGTAAAATAAAAATAAGGAAGCTTCAAGGGAACTAGGACGGCTCAAGGAGACCTCCTCGGCTCCACAACACACAACATACATATATCCCAAACCATAGCTATCGAGCAAGCGACAACTGTATCGCCCCTCAGTCATAAGGAAGAGGCATGTGACAAATATCAAAAGGAGCATCCAAATTAAAAAGTAAAATAATGAGAAGAAATATGAGAATAGAAAGTGGCAGACACAGAGTATTCGGAGCAACTCCGATAGTTATGCCAAACCCCTACCGTATCGTTACTAAAATGCTTACCCTTGGGGCTTTATAGGCGCTCACATCACACTTTCTCAGCCTATAAGCTCATGCTTTGGACTATCCGACAATGTAATGTTATTCGCCTCGCAATCTTGAATGACTAGTCCCATGGGTTCAATTGTGTCACCTTTGAACTCGCTCTAAGGTCAGACCATGCTGATGGTGACCCGTGGCGAGTTGATCGGTCCGGTTGAATTCTGAAACCAGCTCTGCGTCCCTGGTGTACGTGAGGCTGAGAGTGTCATGATACGGGATCGAACTCGTGTGCGAGCCTTCGTCACTGAATGAACCTGTTGGCAGTAGAGTCGGGTTCGGGTAGTGGTGGCGGACGAGTGTTTAGACCTGAGCAAAACCTGTCCACGGGTGATAAGCAGGTCGTAGTCGTTTTGGTTGTAGAGAGGGCTGGCCGTGGGTGGGGTTTGTTGGGGTCAAAGCGGGCGTTGCGGCAACTAGTAGCCGCGGCGAGAGCAGAGAGCCGGGTTGGCGGTTCAGGGTGGCGGTCGGCCAGCCGGCCAGCCAGCCTCAGCCAGCCGACCGACCGATCGTCAGAACAGGCTTACCTGAATGTCCGGTCTGGTTGTGTGTGTGCGTCGTGGCGCCGGCCGCGCGGTGGCGGTGGCGGTAGTCAGTCGACGACGACGACATGATGGGGGCGCCGCGCATAGCCAGAGAGCGAATCAGAAGAGACCGCAGAGAGCGCACAGAGAGGCAGCCGGCCGCGTGAGACACCGCCGAAACTCGAAAAACCAGTGTGCGCTCCGGTGGGCGGCGTCAAGGCGACGGGCGGCCGGTGGGGGCGGCGCTAACCGGTCGTCGAATCGTCGTCGCCATCGTCGTCGTCGTCGTCGTCTCTTCGACTCCACCGATAGACGTTGTCATCTGAATTGTGATGTGATGTCGGGCTCGGTCACGACCACCTTCGGCAACCTGTAAAGCGTGGGAACCTCGGACGGAACGCAGGTGTCAGACCACGCCCATCAGTTGGAGCCCGGCCAAACATTAGCCCGAACGAGAGTCCTGATATTATATCAAGTTTTGCAACGTTTGCACAACACGATGAACTCGTTCTGCCGACACCCACACACGCATACACAAACCGGGGATTGCACCGGGGAAAATGATGTCATTTAGGAGGTCATCCAGATGTCCGAAAAAGAATGGATCAAGCTCGAAGTTCCTTCCCCAATGATTGTGTGGCAATCGATAAAAGAACTCCGAGTACAGTAAGCTGTGGAAAAATGTAATCGGTGCTGTGATTCATCGTGACCCTTTAATCATGGATTGCCACAAACCCGTTCAACTCGGGCAACCTTTATTGAAATTACGAGGTTCTGTCAGGGAATTAAAAGCGTCTGCCGGCCCGAAATGGGTTACTGGAGCGGTGTCCCCTATTGGAGAATGAGCGGATCACCGTGATAAGAAAGTGATCTTACGTACTTCCTACAGACCCAGATCGTGGGCTGTACCTTATCGAGGGTTCTGGAGGGTATGAGAAACGCTAGTCGTATGTTAATCCTTCTGTATGAGCCATCGGTGTTGAATCAAATTTGCGGAGGCGACTGACTTCGGCCTGAAAGAAGTCGTTTCTGAGGCACTTCCTGACAACGCCTCTACGGGACTTTTGGCCCTAATGCAAGGTGGGGCAACCTGTGGAATGGTCCTGAACAGCTTTCAGTGTGCGCGTTTTGCCAAAATAGCTATAATAGTAATATTTTGTGCACAATCTACATTCGCTTGGTCGTGAAACACCTTCCAGACGTTTAAAATACAGTTCTGTTGCGGACAGCAAGTTGACGGTAATAAGCTTCTTCATCAAACGACTTCAGCTTCTAGCTGTCCAAATTCAAGAAGACAGGCGTAGAGCTCACAATGGAATGTCATTACCTGCTTGCAGGAGGAGTCCTTTTATTGGGGTTGGTTACGCCACGAACCGAAAATTAAACAGAAATCCGAAAATAGCAAGTTAGTTCGTAAGAAATGGCTGGAGATATAGTACTTTGCACGTAACAAATGAGCTCGAAAGTTTGAGCTGGAAAGTAGCTGTCCGTTCAGAGTCCCCTACAGAAGTTAAGGGCACCGAGGAATGTGCTATGACATATCCTAATCTTTCGACAGACAAACCGTAATACTTTTGTACTTCAGCTACTACTCTACATCTGTTGATAAACAAACAAACATGGTGTCAGAAAAAGGTTTAGTTGAGAGGAGTACACTACGCGCCCTCCTTTGGGGTGGGCGAAAGTCGGGTGATAAAATTTCGACATTAAAATTTTTGCAGACGTGCTCAACGGAAGAACCGGTATTCGGCACTGAAAATAGTCGACTGTGTATATGAGGAACATTAGAAGGCTACTAGGTGCTATAAGGAGAGGGTTTCGTTCCATCGAACTGGCACCCGTAGGCGCTATAAAATGTTTTCTGATGCTATGATCTGGATTCTGATGTTTTCCAAAATTGAACGATCGCTAAATTTTGGCCCTTACGGGCTTTACAAGGCGATCTCATTCTACTTGGATTGTAGTGTCTTTCTGATGTTACCTAGTCTGTGAAATGATATGAGAAGCCACGAACTAGCAAACTTTCCCTCCTCGACGAACTTGGGAGAAACCAGCGGGTCCTAGAAATGTAGTATCATTATATGGAATCTCAAGACGTACAAGGTTTTCTTCGTCATCAAAGCTTCTACCATATGGCTCATGCTGGTGACGAGTCTCCCATTCCTGAACTGCTGAAACCCTCCGTCCAAAGGAACAATATGCTTGTCGAAAGGACTCTATCGATAGGATCACCTACTGGAAAAATTTTCGATTCGGAAATGATTGAAATTCCTGTAATGCTCGTTGTGAAGCGTGAAAATTCCTATTGTTTATCGTCTGAGTGCGATGGAGCAAAGTCCGAATCAGTTTTGATGACAGTGTATCAATCATGAACTGTCTCGATTCAAATAGGGACACGATACGCCTCATGAAACTGTTTTTTCCTGATGGCGTAGAAGAATCGAATTGCGTTTTTATTCCAAATCTCCCTTTATTTTCAAACCATTCATTAATATTTTAAGAGGATTGAAAAGAATTGAACAAATGAACTAGATTCTGCAATAATGTGCTCTTGATATTCGTCTGACATAGATTGAAAAGAACTGTATGTCGGTTGTCAACCAGCCTCTTCATAATGCGCCATGCGCCAAACTTATGCTCAGAACTGTGGACACAATTTGATGCGTAGTCTAAATTGTCAGAATCTCATGCTTGCTGTATAAAAATGTATAAATGCAATGAAAAGAGTAAAAGTTAGAGTTGAGGCCTATTAAGTTCTTTGACTGCGCCATCCACCCAATTCCCTGTCGGCAACGTAGGAGTATTTCAATGCGCACTTGGCCCATACAATGGCTAATAGAAGCCAATCGATAATCAGATCATTATTTCATCTTTACACTCCAATACAAGTGAATACGGCGGTTTGGGTTGTAGTAGGTTGGAGCTGAACTCGCAGGAGCTCAGTTCAAAAAATGTCATCGGCCCTACGCGCATTTGTGGCGTCCGTTGTTATTGCTCCACTCGTGCCCCTACATGCAGTATGGTCAGGAACAAATGGCAAACATTCAGAATTCATAGGGGGTAACGGAACTTCTCCTCTATCGCGGCATTCTCCCTTGCGGCATGCGGCAAATGTCACTGCAATTACCGTACTCACCCTGCCTCCCCGCCAATCGATAGGACGCGAAATTTTTCGTTGATTGCCTTGCTTTTTTATTGAGTTTGATCGTTTTTTCTTCCGTTTCTTTTTCGTTTTCATGTTTATTAGACTTGATTAATTAAAATGACTCCTCTTATGTAAGCGGCGGCATTGAAATTGAAGGAAGCGGTCAGCCAATTCAAATAATTAAAGGACTCCCTACTTCACAAATTGCGCGCTCCAAACTTCCATCGCAATCCTGCGATACGCGGCGGGTGCGGCGTTTGCGACGCCGTGACAAGGGAGAAGTTCCCAGACCCAATTCATAGGGGTAGACGTGGTGTTGTGGCAAGTGGCGCACTATCATACGCGTATGGTCACGGATTCGGTTCCCTCATCGATATACGCTGAGGCTAAGCAAGTACATTCCCCCGGCATCAGTTAACTGGTAGTGGACTCGGACACCAGTGTGTAGGTCGTATACAAATTCTAAACGAAACTACGAATCTTGATGGAAGTCGAGTACGGGGCGCATCCTTCAGAAGAGGTTGGTTGATGCGCAACACTTTATCGTTTTATCGATATTAACCGACGATGAAAGCTTACTTTTACCGAATCCTTGTGGTTGAAACAAAAATTGATTCAAACTTTTCAACTGGTAAGAAAACTAATTGTCTACTGGACTTATCAATGTTGTTACCATCTAATAAGTCCATATCCAAGTAGAGTTCGATCACTGGAAATCGTTGAGATGTCTTGGTCGTTCTAAATATCCATAACAGACAACAACTTGCCATGGTTCAGTATCAGTAGTCCCTATTCTACCCTTAACCATCCATCGGCACACTCACCGCTAGAATTAAGGCTAATCTTTCCGTCGGAGATTTTAGGAAATAGGTAGAAATCGCCGCGAAGTTCAGTCTCTGCAAGGAACCTCGTGCACTCTCAACTCGAGAAGAATTTCGGAGCCCAGCCATCTAAAGGTTGAAGGGGAGAAAAGGCCATTCTTTAGGGAAACAACGGAGTCGTATCTCAAGAAGCAAAAAATAGCCATCGTGACACATTAATAAAGTTCGTAAGGATAAGGATTGAGTCTTTAGCGTTAATCTGGTTCGAGGGGTGCGCCCTGCATTCGACTTCCATTCAGGATCATGCTGAAAATTCGAATGGGTGTGACGCCTATAAAGAGACTGTCAGTGATGAACTAATGCACGAGTCAGTGATTTTATCATCTTAGACGAGTCTCTTACTAGGCCATCCCCGGATGGATGGAAGGCCTCGTTGTACAAGGCGAGTAACATTATTCCATCATCAGGAACAGCAGCAAAATAGGTTGCTCCTTGGGGGCTCGGTTTCAAGCGGTACTCATTTCAAGTACACTTTTAGAACTCGCTCTTAATAAAAATGTTTTGAATCAGTGGTCCAACGGGGATTTTCCGAGAAGGTATCAGTAATTTAATATCTTTGCAGTGAAAAAGAGGCAGTAATTGAAGTAGTGCTAGAGAGCCAGGCTGCGCCACTAACATTTTTAGATCTCCAATCGGTACCTGTAAGCCAACCAATATATGGATTCAGAGCATAGATTGATTGGAATCACAGCCATTTGGGAGGATGATATCACTGATTTGTACATTGGCTGGCTTCATTCATTGTATAGCCCACATACGCTATCGAATAGCTCGACTCAAGCGACGAGCAACCAATCTGGGTTAGGTGAATCATCCTTGGCACTACAAAGGACAGTATGTTCAGACATAAAGTACTCTTAAGTCAACTATAAAGCAAGTATACAGAAATTTTGGTATCGCGTAACTGGGTTTTAAATTTTTTATTGGAATATCCTCAATTCATTGGGAATGGAATTCTGAAAGTTGCAGAACGAAAGCATTTCTCAGCTTTTTCCTCCATTTTCCTGTTTAGCTGATTATCTCTTAGTCTTGCAGATCGACCACGTGCGTGACACATTTTCAAGCCAGCCAAAGATCCGTGTCCTCATGCAACCATGCACCGTATTAGAAATGTGTAAGCCACATATGTCACTGGAATTCTGAACTGAAAAAAGAATTACCGTGGATGAATTCGAGAGGTACTTATTTTTTCGTGAAAATGCCGTTTACTGTCGAAGAATATTCGGCAAGAGTATACCATTATTTACCATGAGCTGAGAAAATACCATAAGCTGTTTGTTGTTCCTGCGGGAATGCGCCGTGTGTCTGATTCCAGTTCTGTACACAGAGAGCCCTTGCCTGGTTGCGTATAGGTCGTAGATCGACTAGGTGGTGAAGGGCTTGTTCTACTTCGTTACCCTTCCGAATGCAGTGTTTATAAATTGACTAGAACTTCCTACTTCTTAGGAGGGTATCAATCTTATAGACTATATATGCAAGTCTTACTTGCTGTTCGTAGCCAATAAGCGACTTCCGATTGTTTCGCCGAACGAATCGCACATCTTTGATCATTGAGGGGCTGCTCTGATTACACTATTTTCAAACTATAAACCCTTTTCGATGGTTTGAAAAGTTCACTTTCAAGATTTCTTATCTGCATTTTACTCAGTTTCCCTTATATTTGTTGATATGTGTGTCTCCTTTACCTCTCGTAATATGGGGGTGAGGTAGGAGCTACCAGGTCGGTCACCTACATAAAATCCTTCCTGTACTGGACAGCGAATAACAGGAGACACAGCATTTTGTTCTTCG